AATCAGATCACCCCTGAGGAAATACTAAATATGCCAATGGGTTTTAATGATCCCAGTGGAGGTAGCTCCGTGCCTACATTTACGAATTTAATTAATGCGGAGGATAAAGATCATGATCCTGTTGACTATTCTTTTGGGCGTCAATGAATCAACAACTTGAAATAATTTTTCTTTTTAAGCCACATGATAACAACTATTATGAATGTTATTTATATATATAACTCGATTTGCATGTAATGCCATACATATATTATTATCACGATATATATATTCGATTTTCCTATAATATTAACTGTTATTATCATAAACTACATATAACTTAGATTAACAAAAATCCGAAAAATATTTGCATTATTTGTATATAATTTTATTAACAATGTTAATTTTTAAATTTCGCCATAAATGTATTCTCTATGTCTAAATCATATGCAATGCATTCTAGACCATGTAAGGTTCATTTTTCTTAGTAATAAACAATAAAAAAAAAAAAAAAGATAACAGGCAACTAAATCCGTAATTAAATGTTCAGGTTACAAAATAATCCAAACCATAACATTGTAGTATACTATACTATATTACAAATTCGTAAATTGACGATTGTATCTTATAAACCAGATAAAATTAATTCAAAGTTTTCGAACATTCCTGAAATTGCCAAGTTCCACCGTTTACAGTACGTATCAAGCACATAAATTTAAAATAAACTTAAACGTATGTACAATACGCACTCGATCAACCAATTGTTCAATTATTGTAAATTTTTATACGGATTAAATTGTACTATTACTATAATTCACATTGACTCTTTTCAATCTCTTATTAGGACGCGGATAAACTTTCGAATTATACCATGATAAGTCAATAGGTGAACTAGTAAGATCATCATCTTCGCCCAATCCTTCAATCATTTTCCAAGGATCTATTGTGTGTTTCTTTTCGCCTTCCCCTATTGTTTCTTGAACGAAAATAAGAGGAAGCACACGTTTTATCCTGTTACTCCATATGGCTGGGATAATATTGTCAAATTTGTGATTCTATTCGTAAATATACATTTAAATTGATAAAGTTATGAATTAAATAATTTAAATTTAAGTAATAAAATGGTTAAACTTACTAGCTATAAAAATAGAATTATTAAAATAAGTAATTAAATGAATAATTGAGTAATTAAGTCAATTAGTTTGGAATATTCTTTAATGATAATCAAGCTACCTTTAATTCTGCTACAATGACAGCACGCGCGTTTTTTCCCATTTCTACGGATCAATAAAATCAATTAAATTTAAATTAATCATATGAATCTATTTACAAAGCAATAAAATAATCACTATACCATCTAGCAAGAACGATACAAGATCTAGTATTAGATCAAAATGTGTAAAACCACCACCATTCTGATGAATACGCGGATCACATAATAAATTAACCAATGTCACAAACAATTTCTCTATTAGAGCATATTCCGGAATTTGGCGCACGATCGCCGGATTAGTTTGCGTAACAACCTCTGTTACGCGACTTGTCAATACATGCGCTCCAAGAACCAGTAATTTGACACGAGAAATTATGCTGAAAAAGTCCGTATAAGAAAATTTATATTTAACAATGATAGTATTAAATTTTAAGCCGTATCTCACCTAGACACATAAACATTATCATGACTTTCAAATTCAAATGTTATAGAACTGGAGTCATTGGGATAATCATCTTGGATTTTCTTAATTTGACTTAACAAGGCATCACAAAAGTTTATCTTCTTATCGACGCTAAGTGGAAGCAACAGTGATCTAACAATTTCTTCTATGTCAGACATCCATTCTGTACATTTTTTTAATACA